CCAAACTGAAATCCTGTGAGCTGTACCACTGACACCTAGCGTATGGAAGCCCCAGAAGCTGAAATCCCCAGGAACAGTCACGTTCTCCCCGGGAGGCGGGTGAGGAGGCCACGCAGAAAGACAAATACACCAAGACATGTCTGAGAGACCAGTGCTCTAAGAAAATAACATGTTACGAGACCGTGTTTTTCTATTTTTATAACATTTTATATAACTCATAAAACAGTGTTTGTATAAAAATTCACACAAAGTTGCTAGAGAGCATACAATTTCCAAAAATGTCCTGGGTTTTTGTTACATTCAGTTTCCTAAGGATGCACTCCAATCTATGGTAAAATGCAGACATGATGCGAGATTTCATTATCTTTGGTAAAACTATTCTCATTATTTTGCTCCTCACAGTATTAACTCTGATATCCACTTTGTGCAGGGTCTGCTATTACTAGGATGTCAGAAAAACATTAAGGCTGGATCTACGAGAGGCAAGCATTTCCAAACAGCAGTAACAGCCCCTCGGCCCCCACCCCCACTTCATATATCTGTACAGTCTATCTACACAGCCAGGCAGGGTGCGAGCTCACGACCTCCACTGGGGAGTCTTGAGATCCCCTCTCGACTGGGCAAGAAGCAAACATTTGGGGGGAACGTTGGAAACGGAGGCCATCTCTAAATGAACCCAGTGGTCATGCTGTGGTGTGGTCAGACCAGTGACTTTTACCAACTAAATAGCCAATCCATTCACCACTAAGTAGATCCCATTGGCTGGTTGGTTGATGATTGCTGCTGATGTGGTTCCCCCTCCCCACAAACATAAAAGGAAAGGAAGGTTTGGAGCCAACACTGAAAGGGGAGGGGCACGCTAGCGCAAATGACACCAGACACGACTTTATTCCCTGTCGAACATTTGTTGTCATGTAGACACAGCCAAGGTGAACTGAAGCAGGATGCGAACACTCAATACATTCATGACTATCTTCATACACTCTTTAAAAACTTAGAGAAACTGATGAAGACTACCACCTACTGTGACTTACTAGTTCATTCAACATCAAAACGTGTCTGTGCTAATTTTTCAGTCCTTGGGATACAAGGCCAAGAAAAAAAAAAAAAATCCAAAATACAAACAACTAAAAACCAAAGAATTTAGAAGGGGCGGGTGGGGGAAGGAAAAGGATTGCCAACAGGTTTCATGGAACACATTAAATTTTGAAAAAATAAGTATTTTGTACTTCTATTGCTTCATGTAAAAAATTTAAAATAAAAAAATGCCCACTGGAGTCATCTGTATGGATGGAGAAGTGAGGACACCATACAGACAGGGCAAGGACCTGCAGGCGTTTCCTGACCACATCCAGAGAGATGGGAAGGGTTCCCAGGTGTGTCCACTTCTCTTCACAGAAAGGGACTGTAAGATTCTGGGGGAAGATGCCCTACACATGAAATATATTAAGAAAATCACTGAAATATGGTTTCTAAAAATTGAACATGCTCTGGGTTACAAAGAGACATATTTAATTCCTAGAACCTATTGATTTCTCTAACATGGGTAGATGGGAGTTTCAAAAAAATTATTAATAAATGATTGTGCTTCTAAAGTTGCAGGGTCAACATTCCACCCTCTAGAAAGCAGGGCAATTCATGGCTTGGAGTCCTCTTGTTTATATTCTAGAAACCAGAACAAATTCCATGGGACCTCCCCACTCCAGCGCCCAACAACCAGCGGTGGGTGGGGGAGATGGCGGGAGAGGGCCACAGCTGTCTTTGGGTAGGGTGCGTGTGTGTGCATGCTGTGTGCACGTGCTGGAGAGACTAAGGCATAGAGAAGGGCCCAAGCGAGGAGGGAAAGTGAGTCTCCTGGCTGCTCCAGTCCCTCCTTTCCAGGCACAAAGAAGTTGAACTTGTTATTCGTGTAGGCCCCCTTCATCTCACTTCAGCTTTTATAGTAAGCAGTGCGTGTGTGCATGAGTAGCTGTGTGTGACAGAGAGTCATTCAGTCCCTGTGCCTTTCTAAATCTGTTTGTAGTCGCAACAGAAATAATCTGTAAATGACACTTAGGAGCACATTTACTAGTTAGATCAGCAACTTAACATTGCTTAAAATTCTGTATTTTAAAAAATGCTCCTGGTCACAGGCAAAATTATGTCATACAGCCAGTGGAACTGAAGTCCTTATCAGCTATCTCTGCATTTTAAAGTAGCAAAATATTAAGCCATCCCACAGGGGTTCTACGACTACCCTGTGTGATTTAATTAATTTTCCAGGACTCTGGTATGACGTATTGTTTGCATTTGACTGTTTCCTTTCCCTCTTAGGCATTTGGCCCCCAGAGTTAGGTAGGTAAAAGGATGATTTTAAAGGATTTTACCTGTCGGGGAACTTCCCAGTTGGTGCTCCTGGAGAGCATGCAGCTGGCCTGCAGGAGCCTGACATTCCCAGTCAGGAGGGAACGAAGACATGTGCCCCCCAAGGCAGGGGGTAGCCAGGTATAGGGCAGCAGGACCTTCTAGAGAGTCCAAGAGGAAAGTTCTGAGTGAAGGGACATGTGTGCCCCATCTGAGACGGCCTGTGTCCTTCCAATGCCTGGTATCCCCAAGAGGGGCTCAGAGCTGGGCCCGCCCTGAGGAGCGAGGATGTAGTGCTGCCTGGAGGAGCTAACGCTGAGGTCTGGGGAAGTCACCACAGAGCTCCTGGTACCTGGATTTTGTACAAACACACACACAGAAAAGTAAACAGTTCATGGTGAGCTCAAAGAGGCCCACCCTTAAATCTAACAAGAAGCCAAAAGCCCCTGCACTGTTTTCCAAGGAAACACGTCTACTCCCTCCAACCAGCAACCACGTATGGAGAGGGAACGGGGGCAGTGGAAGGACACGGCTCAGATGGAGACACTGCAAACGTGTTTCCACGGCTGTCTACATTCATATCATCATCATCCAGTGTTCTCGCCTACAGAGTGACACAACATTCTACCAACACGCCTGAAGCACAGGCCAAGCTGAACGGAAGCCTTCCCAGGCACCAGAGCAGAAGGGAAAACTTGCACATGGTCGTAAAGGACTTCGTACTATTCCAGCCCCTCTACTGCCATCCAAGGGGCATCTTGACTCTTCCAAAATCAGATGTAAAAGACAAGGTCAGTAAAATCAGTATCCATGCCACCTGAAGCTATGATTAGCCACTGTGCACGAACATGGCACTTTTAAAGAGGTTTTTTTCTAAGTAAAATGGCCCCCAAAGAGCCCAATTATTTTTTTAAGAGTTTCTTTTTAATTAAAAAAATGGGTAAAAATGGAAGATGTAAAATATGGGACGAGGGGCAAGAGAGTTGCTGGGTTTGCATTTTAAGCTGTAAGGGGCTGGGGAGGGCACAACCAGGGAGAGAGGGCCCCTACCCTCTGGTCCCTGCCCTCACAGCTTGCTCTCCCCACTCAGGCTGCCCCGCCGGGGCACACAGGACAGAAGTTGTAAGTACAAGAGACCAAACTCAAGGCTTCTTTCTTGCGGCTGGGCGGGTGTTTACGTGTGCAAATGTAGTAAGCCACTCCCCACGGACATAAGGTGCCTGTCTGTGGATGCCATAGGCGTGCTCCCAAGTATTGCTCAGTCCCAAGGGTGCCCATCACTCAGCCTCTGGTGACCCCGAATCTCTGGGCAGGCCACAGGCCTTCACTTCTCCACTTTCTTCGCTTTCTTGAGGATGTCGCATTTTTTCCTGTTGGGGCGGCGGCACCTCTCATCGATGCTGGGGATACATTCGTAGTGCCACACCTCCTCCATCTTCTCCACCGGGTAGACGGCTTCCACGTAGTGGCGGATGAGCCGCAGTCGCGTGGGGTCCAGCTGCTTCTTGTTGCAAGCCCCGGAATGGTTGTACTGCAGCCGGAGGTTCTCCGCGGTGAAGAGTTCGGGAAACAGGCGGACGAGGAGCCGGGCGGCAAAGTTGCCCACGGAGAGGCTCTGCTGCACGATCTCACGCACCTCCTTGTCAGACAGCAGGTAGGGAGAAGGCACCGGGAAGTCAGGCGAGGGGACCACCAGTTCGTCCAAGGGGATCTTGCAAAAGTCCTTGCTGCTCCTCTCGGGGGGTAGGGGGGGCCCCTCAAACTCCTCCCGGAACCTCTCCGGGTTGATTGCATAGCTGGTCAGGTCTCTGCACTCAGGGCCTGGCACGTGGACCTTGCGCTGCTGCTGGTAGGAGCGCCTCTGCTCCGTGTCCCGGCGCCGGCAGCGCTCATCCAGTTTGCCCACGAACTCCAGGGTCCAGACGCGGTCGTTTTTGGCGCGCGGGTAGAGCAGCTGCACGTAGTGGCGGATGAGCTTGATGCGGGACGGGTCCAGCTGCTTCTTGCCCAGGGAGCCGCTGCAGTTGTACTGCTTGCGCAGGTTCTCGTGCGTGAAGAGCTCGGGGAACAGGTGCACCAGCAGGCGCGAGGCGAAGTTGCCGATGGACAGGCTGCTCTCGTAGATGCTGCGCAGCTGCTCCTTGCTGAGCAGGCAGTCGGCGCCAGGCACCTCGAAGTCGGGCTGGGGGATCTCTAACTTGTCGAAGTCGATGGGCACCAGCCAGATCTTCTTGGAGCGGCGGCCCGGCCGCTCACCCTCGAAGCTGTCCTCCACCTTGACCACTGAGATGTCGTCGGGCAGACTGGAGGAGTCGTAGCAGTCATCGCGCGGGGCGTCACCTTCACTGCCCGCGTCCAGCCCTAGGCCCTCGAGCTCGTCGTTGATGCGCTGAGCGCACTGCTGCAGCCAGGCCTCCTCCTCCTGCATGTCGGGGAAGTAGATCTCCGTGTAGTTGCGGATGATCTGGAGCCGCTGGGGGTCCAGCTCCTGCTTTCCACCATCCCCGTAGCAGCTGTACTGTTCACCCAGCTTGCGGTGGTCGAAAAGCTCGGGGAAGAGCCGGTGGAGGAGAAAGACGGCAAACTCGCCTGGTGAGGAGGCTTCATCCAGAAACTCAGTGAGGTCCTGCGTGTCCACCACGTGGTCTGAGGCGATGGTGCTGCTCCGGTCCAGAGACAGGGCCTCCTCCTGGTCTTTGTTGTCCAGGAAGTGGCCGGGGTCCACCTGCTCTGCCTCAAAGAAGCTGGCGACCTGGCCACTGGGCTGGCTGTCCTCCATTTCCCGCTGGGCCCAGAAGCGGCTGAAGAAGTCGTTCAGCTGGGGCAGGCACTCGGCCTGCCACACGGCCGTGTCCTTCACCGAGGGGTAGTAGACCTCCACGTAGTTGCGGATGAGCTGCAGGTGCAGCGACTCCAGCTTGCGCTTGGCCGCAAAGCCACAGGCACTGCAGCCTCGGGAGAAGTCCACATCGCTGAAGAGCTCGGGGAAGAGCTGCACCAGCAGGCGGCAGGCCAGGTCCCCCCCCGACAGGCTCTGGTCCACGATCTGCTTGAGCTCCGCAGCTGTGAGCTGATACTCAGGGGGCGGCTGGAATTTGGCCACCATCTCAGTGGGGCTCACCTGCTTCTTGATGCGACTCACCTCCAGGGAGAGCAGGTCCACCTTGCTGTGCAGCTGGGACATATTGGACGTGAGGGTGTTGAGCATGTAGAACATTTTCTGGATCAGGAAGTAGATGTTGGGGTCACTGTCAGTGCCTGCCCCGGTGCTGCCAGAGTCCCGCTTCTGTGGCTCATTGAGGAGCCGCAGCGATGAGGGGCTGTTGCTGGCGTTTGCCTTCTCGAAGAGCTCGTACACGTTTAGCAGGTCCCCCGAGGGAGGATTCTTCTTCTCCATGATCTTGTGCGAGATGCCATACAGAGGCTTCTTGTAGGAAGGGGTAGTGGCATCGTTGCAGGGCTCCTCCTCTCCTGGCCACACAGAGCCCAGGCTCCTGCCCCTGCTGGCCTGCTCGCCATTGCCTTGGCAGGGCGAGCTGTTCTCACGGTTCCGCATGCCTGCTAGGAGAGCCTGCAAAACAAAAATCATTTCCCAGAGTGTTAGGAGGGTGCTGTGGTTTATGACACTAAACAAGCGTCTGCGTGGCACACGGAGGGGCCAAGGTCAACCTTGGGAGCATGTGAGAAACTGATTCCTCACCCTGAATCACTCCGTCATGCAAGGATGCACTGATACAAACCTGCATCTCCACCACCCCAAACCCGCTGCTCTCCCCACTCCCCGAGAAAAGACTGGCTGGGCCCAGGGAGGCTTTATGCTCTTGCAGGACACCAGCACTGGACTTCCTGCCCATCAGAGGGCTGACACTGACGTTGGCAATACCGGGTAAGAACTCTGCAAGAAACAGGAGGGAGAGCACAGGAAGGTGACGGGCTTGTGCAGCTCCTGGCCACAGACAGGTCACCTCATGGACCCATGCCTTGGTCTGCTCTCAGGAAGGGACAGAGATTCCTACCTATGGTAGCTCCCAAAGGCAGCAGTGTGTCCTTTCAGCCTGCAGCCTTTGGGAGAGCAGGCATGCCTTCTCAGGAAGGCTCCTCTGAGATGCATGGTAGGGGCACATGAGAACTGCGCTGTGGAGAGCAGCTGTCTGATGCCAACTCCATCATTGCCTGAAATCACATCTTAGACCAGAAAAGGCCGGCCCAGAACTCTCTGGCCTATGCAACTGTGAGACAGTAGAAACAACCCCCCGTTTCTGAAAAATCAACAAGTATATAAACTGTGTTATATTCATACAATGGAATATTACTCAGCAATAAGATATTAATTATTGATACAGTACACAAAGTACTCATGATAAATCTCAAAATAAATCACAAAAAAAGAGGCCATAGTGTATGATTCAATTTGTGTATATACAATTCTGGAAAACACAAGCTTGCCCATAATGACAGAAGGCAGACAGTCATTGCCTAGGGATGGCAGGGAAAATTCGATGGGACATGGAGAATGACACAGAGAACGTCAGTGGGTTGACGGATGTTTATCATCATGACTGTGGCTATGGGTTCACTGGTAGACACGTGTCAAAACGTATCAAACTGTATACCTTAAATATGTATCATTCATTGTATTTCAGCCATAACCTAATAAGCCTGTTTTTGACAAATGTTGAATTTGGCCCAGACACTTATGGAAATGTATATTTGAGTTTTAGGAAAGCAGATGAGCTAGTCAGTGAGCACTGGTGGGTGTTGGGGGAGCAGGGAGCTGTTGCTCCGCCTGACAGGCATGTGCCTTGGGCAACTGGGAATGGACAAGAACACACGGCATCCTGGGGTGCTTCTCTCCACGCTTGGGAAGAGTACAGGTGGCTGGGACCGGCCTAGCCCAGCGCTTAAGCTCTAGTGTACACACTGAATCACCTGGGGTCTTGCTGGAATGCAGAGTGTGAACCCTGGGCCTGCATCTCTAACAAGTTCCTGGGTGCTGTGGCTGCTGTCCGTCCTCTCTGAATAGCCAGGGCCTGGCAGTCAGTGTTTGCTCTCAGCTTATCTCATCTGGGCAGATAAGGGTTATTAGAAAGTTTTCAGGTCACTAATGCCAGCATAAAACAGGGCATGAGGTGTTTTTCTCTGCAGCCTCAACCAATGTAGGGAAAAGAGACAACCTCAAGAAGTGAGGCTTCATACAGCAAGTGAGCAATATGAGGCTGAGAATAGGTAGATACAGGGGGAATAGAAACCAGGACTCCAAATAAACAGAAAACTTTCATCCTTCTGAACCTTCCATGTGTTCTTTTTCATTTAATTAATGAACGGCTGGGCGCGGTGGCTCACGCCTGTAATCCCAGCACTTTGGGAGGCCCAGATGGGTGGATCTCCTGAGCGCAGAAGTTCTGCCAGCCTGGGCAACATGGCGAAACACTGTTTCTACTAAAAAAAATACAAGAAAATTAGCCAGGCGCGGTAGTGTGCACCTGTAGGCCCAGTTACTCGGGGGGCTGAAGTAGGAGGATAACCTGAGCCTGGGAGATGGAGGCTGCAGTGAGCTAAGATCTTGCCACTGCACCCCAGCGTGGGTGACAGAGTGAGACCCCATCTCAATAATAATTAATGAATTACTTCCTAGACTCTCTCTTTTGGATAACAGAATAATCTGACTCATATTAGAGAAATGTTAATTCTTCTCTTGTGCCTCCATGAGGACAACCGTGCAAAAGAAAAACTACTCCTTTAGTGACCTTATAAAGGGACTCGTAAGTACGTTAGTTATCACAGAGCTGGCCAATACTGCCTTCGGGGTTTGCCTTCGGTGTATATATATATACACACACACACACACACACACACACACACACACTCATATATATATATGAGCAAATGGTCAGTGGCAACGGGCCCTCGTGGGCCCCACTCCCCACCCCTCCCCTCTACAGCACTCCCCAGGAGCAGAGGATCAAGGACATACCAGAGTGGAGGCAGCCTGTCAGGGGAGGCCTGCCACCTGCCCCACTCCCTCTGGGGTCTCCTTGCCGAGCTGTCCCCATCCCCATCAAACTGCATGATGGTTGTGGGATGGGACCATGTTGTTCCTGAGTCTATCCCCAGTGCCTGGCAAAGTGCCCAGGGTACAAAAGAGGTCAATGAATTTATGTCAACCACACATGTGGATAAAGCAGGGCAAAGTGTTCCACCATTCTCAAATACATGCTTAAGAAAAGTGAGGCCAGGTGCGGTGGCTCACACCTGTAATCCCAGTAGTCTGGGAGGCTGAGGCAGGGGATCTCAAGCCCAGGAGTTCAAGACCAGCCTGGGCAACATAGTGAAACCCCATCTCTACAAAAATAAGCTGGGAATGGTGGTGTGTGCCTGTAGTCTCAGCTACTCGGGAGGCTAAGGTAGCAGGATTGCTTCAGCCTGGGAGGTTGAGGCTTCGTGAGCTGAGATCACGCCATTGCACTCCAGCCTGAGCAACAGAGCAAGACCCTGTCTCAGAAAGAAAAAAAAAAGAGAAAAAAAAGGAAAAGGAAGCTGTTCTGATAAGAGCAGTGGCAGAGAGGTATGAAGGTACGGCTAAGAACTCAGCTCAATCAGCAAGCATCCTTGTTTGTAACCTTATAAGCCTCACCTTCCTGTGTATAACTCAGCGTAAATCATGGTACCTGTCCCACAGGGTGGTTGTGAAGATTTAACGAGACAGTGCACATACAGCACTGAGTCTGTCTGAATCACAGTAAGTGCTTACTATTTATGGCCAGGCGCGGTAGCTCATGCCTGTAATCCCAGCACTTTGGGAGGCCGAGGTGGTTGGATCACTTGAGGTCAGGAGTTTGAAACTAGCCTGGCCAACATGGTGAAACCCCATCTCAACTAAAAATACAAAATCAGTTGGGTGTGGTGGCACATGCCTGTAATCCTAGCTACTTGGGAGGCTGAGGCAGGAGAACTGCTTGAACCTGGGAGGTGGAGGTTGCAGTGAGCCGAGGTTGCAGTGAGCCAAGATGGTGCCACAGCACTCCAGCCTGGGCAACAGAGTGAGACTCTGTCTCAAAAATAAATAAATAAAAATTTATTATTACAATATGATGTATTATTACATAATGCTATTCCCAAGCCATGGCAGAGGTAGTTCTGTAGGGGACTTTTATTGAGGGAGTTGTAATGATACTCTCAACCCGTACACTGAGAAGGACTTTCCCACGGTGCCTCAGGGTAAGTCACGCATGGAAGGTACGTCTTAGAGTCTGTTTGTCCTAAAGGCTGAGAATTTAAGCCCTTTATGTTTCTTCTGTTCTGCTATCTGGCATTATTTGTTTAAAAAGAAAGAAAAGAAAACATATACACACACCAGAAAGGAAGGGGTGGAGATAACTGACACCCTTTACCCCAGTGCAGTGTTTCAAATTGTAGGTTAGCAGATGATAACTGATTCTGGTGGATCGTGACCAACATAAGAAGAGGGAGGGGCAGGGCGCGGTGGCTCACGCCTGTAATCCCAGCACTTTGAGAGGCCGAGGCAATCAGATCACGAGGTCAGGAGATTGAGACCATCCTGGCTAATGCAGTGAAACCCCATCTCTACTAAAAATACAAAAAATTAGCTGGGAGTGGTAGCACACGCCTGCAGTCCCAGCAACTCGGGAGGCTGAGGCAGGAGAATCACTTGAACCTGGGAGGCGGGGATCACAGTGAGCATGATGGCACCACCGCACTCCAGCCTGGGTGACAGAGCATCTCAAAAAAAAAAAGAAGAGGGACGGATTAGTCACTAGGGAAGCTTAGGTGGGAGGGTCACTTGAGTCTTGGAGGTGGAGGTTGCAGTGAGCTGTGATTGTACCACTGCACCACAGCTTGGGCAACAGAGTGAGACCCTGTCTCAAAAAAAAAAAAAAAAAAAAAAAAAAGAGGGAGGGAATGAGGAAATAAGAAAGCAAAAAGAATAGAAAAATATCAAAGTGTACTGCACAAAGTAAATCAATTTAGGAGTTTTGTTTCATTACTATGTGTATGTCTACATATTTATTTACAAATTCATACATGTAAGTTGTATTGATCTATAAGGTGATTTATAACCGTGGGTCACTGTGGCAAACCACTGCCCTAACAAACTCAAAGTGCCTTACTTGCTAATTCCTGTAGAATGTAAAGTAAACGTTTTGGCAATTTATTCACCATTAAGTTCTATTACACTAAAATAACTTTAGAGGTCCCATAGACTATAAGATAGAGAGAAATCTGGGTTTGAAGTACTAACAATTACAAATCATATACTATATTAGGAGTGATTTTAGAAAAGGAGGCTTTCCTTTAAAACAAGGTTCCATTAGCACATTTAAAATAGAATTTCCTACAGAAAGAGATCATCAGAAACTTATATAGCATGCAACAAGAGTACATGTTCTAGAGGGAGACTTGCCCTAATTAATACCCAGGGGAGAAATGAGTACAGGGAAGTTTCTGGTGAATTATTTGAATACCAACAACACACACAAGATTTGACTCCCCCACATTCCTCCAGCAGGCGGGAGGCAAGAGTACGTTGAAACTGGGAAACCCCCCATAACT